TAAATAAAACTAAATTTCAATACCGTGATAATACCGTATACCGTGATAAAAGCATTAGCAATTAATCGCAACATGAGAATTTGATACCGGCATATCCCTAATATATACATATGTGCATGTGTGCAATTTTATGTTTGTTTGTTTTTTTTGCACTAAGCATTTTGTTGCTAACCATTTAATTGCGAATTAGCACCTTTGAGTGCTAAAAACATGTATTTATATTTTATCGTGACAGCTGCTGCTCAAATGAAGCATGTTGATTCCCTGCACGCAGAGGGATGTTAGTGATCTCTCTGGCGCAGCATGAATCATGATTGTGGGCTGCTAGCGTGCAGCACAGATTACACTGTAAGCGTGGCTGTTGTATAAGGCAGTGACTCAGCAGCGCTGGGATTATGAGCACTTCCTAATAATAACCTGAATGATTCTGTGAGCGGCTCAGAGACGGTCATGAGATGCAGGCCTCAGGACACACGGCGAACCCAACACTGCTGCAGCGCTTGTTTTCCTCCAGCACAGCACACTCTCTTACTGCAGTGATGCATTCAATATCCCTGATATATATATATATATATATATATGGTGCAGTGTTATACTATACTATTATAGTTTTTATTTATATTTTGAGTTTTTGATTTATTTTCCAGATTTCCTTTCAATTTTAGTTATTTTTAATTTTTTAGTAATTTTGTTGCGTTTTGTCATTTCTATTAGTTTTAGGGTTTTTTTGTGTCTGTGTAGTTTTTATTATTATTTTTACATTTCAGTTTCAGTTACTTTATTTAATGCTAAACTAAATAAAAATAGAATTGTTGACTTTTTAATATTTTTTAATATTAGTTTTATATAAGTTTTTTTTTATATTTGATTTTATTTTAGTTAAAGTTTATTTTATTTCAAGTAAAGATTTTTTTTATAGTTTTAGTAAAGTATAATAACCCTGATTTGGCGATTTTAACTTAAGCAAAAAAAAATTTTTAACAAAATTTGGGTGATTAATGTGCTGTTTATTTGTTCATTAAGTTTAATAAAGATAGTTCCATTATTTTTTGAATGATTTAAACTTCAATATCAAAAACAGGTTAGTAATTCTGTGAATCAATTCAAAGCTGTGATACAGCGATTCGTTTGCGTTATAACTTTAAAATGTTTATTAAAGTCTGTGTGACATTTTTATGAATTACTATGTTTTAGTTTTTTCCTTTTTTTTTTTGGGACCAGATTGGTGGGCTTTCAGTTTTATTGGAAAATCTACTAAATAAAATATAAGAAAAGTGTTTTGGTAAAAATATAAATAGCTAAATATTGCTGTTCCATGCTACATAAGTACATATGAATATAAATGTTCAAATGTGATTCTTCCTTTCATACATTTAATGAAAAACATTGTGAAAACTTGCCATGATTATTTAAAACTAAATTTTTACTGTATTTTGCTTCTTCCTTTAATGATTTTACAATCACTGTTTGGTTGAAATCGAGTAAACAATGTACGCTTTTAAGCCGATTTTCCGATTTTCATTTAAAAATACATAAATATCTAGATTTATATCAAATATCCTCAAAAGGCTGAAAAATACTGCAATTTTACGTTGTGTTTTCAAGCCCAGTCCGAGCTAAAAGGTGCTGAAATTTGTACTGGTGACTGATGTATGTTAAACTTCAGTGTCCTTGTTTCTCTCTGTGTCTCAGGTCAGCTCAGCTGCATCTCGCTCCTGTGTCACGAGGAGGACTATCTGCAGAATGTGGTTGGTAGCGCCCCCTACATCCTCATCCTGGGCCAGCACTGTTCGGCCCGATACCAGCTGCTCAACTGCCTGCTGGGAGAGAGGCTCCTCCCCCTAGGCTCGGAGGTGGGCGGGGCCTGTGGGCCGGAGGGCGGGGCCTGCAGGAGGAGGAAGCTGTGCTTCACGCACGGCCGTCAGACGCGCTTGAGCCTGGCGCTGCCGGGGCAGTATGAGCTGGTGCATCAGCTGGCGGCTCACTGCGGACGCTGGGACACGGTGCCATGTGAGGATCTGGAGATCCAGGAGTGCGAGGATCCCGCGCAGCGATTGGCCGAGCTGGAGATCACGCTCCATCACGCCCTGCTGCAGGTCAGGGGTGGCGGGGCTCGCATCGTTTCTCTCAAAAACAAAAACAAATGGGATTTAATTCTGTGAGATGAGTTTGTTTTTGCAGGAACATCAATCGGTTTCTCTTCTCTCCTTTCCTGGTGTTTATGTAACCCTGCTCTGTGGGTCTGGTGCACTTCACATGACCACCAGTGAGAAAAAGGGCACTGGTTGCTGCTATGATGATGTGTGCGTCTCCATGGCGACGGGAAAACTGTATCCCGGGAGCCTCCTATAAATACTTGGATTCAGTCACGGCTGGATTCCTTTCTTTCATTAGTTTGTTTGTTTTCATGACTGAAAAGAGTTTGAATTGGGCTCAGTGTTTGGACCGGTTCAGATTTCTTAGATCAGACGATCACTTTAGTCAAAGTCAGATCAGCTTCAAATCAGACTCCGATCACTTTAGACTAAATCAGATCAGCGTCAAATCAGGCTCAAATCAGACTCAGTTTTGGACCAGTTGCAGACCAGACTCCAGGTAATCTAAAACACTCAGATCAGTCTGCTATCAAACTCTAATCCGTTTCAGACCAGACTCAGACTGGTTTCACATTTGTCTTGAATCAGATTCAGATGGAGGTCTCAGATCAGACTCAAACAGTGTGTTTGTCTCAGTCAGGTTTTTCTGCATGACTCTCTCTTGCGGTTTAAGTGTTTGCCGTCACACACACATCTGCTAGAATCACGTCTGCTCTCAAATGAACCCCGTCTGTTTTCGATCCGCGCACGCACGTTAGCACAGAGACGTTAATTAGCGCGGGTCCCAGAGCGTACTCTGACGGTGGGCAGTGAAATTCCTGCTAAAGCACACACACACACACACACACACACACACACATGCGCGGCTGGCATGTTTGAGGTGTTTGAATCAGATCTTTGTTGGGCTCAGGTCTGATGGGCTCCGGCGGCTGTGTTTGCAGGCCATCTTTGTTCCAGAGAGACTCGAGCGCTCTATGGCTGTTGTGTCAGAGACGGCGCTGACTGACTCTATTGTGCTCGTGTGCTAGCGCTCTTTATTCTCTCTCTGACGCGCCCGCTGCGGATTAATCATACAGTCGAACTTTGACCCGCCGTGTCTAATATTTCTTGAACAGATTCCCAGAGGAACACACTGCTTTATCAGGAGAAACGCTTCTCACCGACACAAGCCTGATTTCACACCGCGTTCAGGGTTCCCACGCTCGAGTCTGACTTCCAGGCCTAAGCCAAAAGAAATCAGAAATGTCTGTAATTAATATAATGCTTTCTAATATGCAATGGCATTTTAATAAATCTCTGCAAAAATAATTGTTAAAAATCTTTATCCAGTAAGCAAAAGTGTCTGGAAATACCGTGGATATTAACTGGTTTAAAAACTAACTAAAACACATAAAGTACTTTTTTGCCGTTTTAACGCAATTTTATTTATTTATTTATTTATTTTTGCAAATTTTTACACTGCTTTTTGTTTTAATCATACTTTTTTTTTGTCATAATTGAAAGGATATTTTGTTCTTTTGCAAATATTTTGTCATGCCATTCATTCATCAACATACATTGTTTTAATTGCGGAGCATGTTTACCATTTAATTGACCAAACATTTAAACATATTTCAATATATATTTTTATGTTTTTTGTATCTATGTTAATATAATGTTATATATTTTTTTATCATGTGTCAAAGCAAAATCAACATGTGAAAACATCATATCATGTCATATTCATTAATTTTAGGCAGTTTTACACTCATTTTAGTTGACAAATTATGTCTGAATTTACAAAAATGTTGACCAAACTTAATTGACCAAATATTGAAATTTAATTTATTAAATTTAATTGACCAAATATTAAAATGTAATTAACTATTTATTGATCAATTGTTGAAACTTTATATTTAAAAATTTATATTGCTTCACGTATCAAAGCAAAAATGTGAAAAAAAATTTTGATGTGAAAATCTCATCTCCCGAAATAACATTTTAATTATTGTAATTCAATGTTTAACTTAATTTAGTTTTGTTTTGTCATAATTGAAAGGATATATTCATATTCATTAATATTTAAGTAAATTTTACATTAATTTTAGTTGATAAGTATGAGTATAATATTGTAATTTAATTTTTTTAATAAATTTGAATATTTGAATACTGAATATTGCTTGTTGTGTCCAGGAGGTGAAGATCATGGTGCTCCCGTGCCGCGGCGTGCAGCCGGTGGAGGAGGCTCTGGAGGACTGCAGGCGCGGCATCCTTCCCATCATCCTCTACGCCGTCAGTAAGGACTCGCTGAGCGCCGAGCAGGTGAGCGACCTGCAGAAGGTGCGCGAGACGCTGCCGTTCCCCGTCTGCTTCGTCCGGGCCCCCAGCGGCCCCTCGGACCCCGAGCCGTCCCCCGGCACCCTCTACAGGCAGCTGCTGTCTCTGGAGCTCGTGGGCGGAGCGGCGGGAAACTGCGCCTGCGGGGCTCCGGCACAGACGCAGAGCATTGTGGGAGAGAGTCTGGAGCGTCTGCAGCGTGTGCTGGGGCCCTTCACTCGACAGCTGCTGCAGAGCCAACAGGTGGAGGCCGCCTCGCTGCTGAACGCCGTCCACTGCCGCTGCCTCGACCTCTTCATCAACCAGGTGACGCTGCTACACTCATCCAGCAGAGAGCGCTAGCACATTACAACACATTCCTGCTTCACACACACTAGACTTCTGTTTCTCGTCAGCGCTGTGAATCCTGAGAAATAAAATGCATCTAAATATTTATGTTTTCAACATTGATAATAATCAGAAATGTTTCTTGAGCAGCAAATCAGTATATTAGAATGATTTCTGAAGATCATGTGACACTGAAGACTGGAGTAATGATGCAGAAAATACAGCTGCGCATCACAGAAATAAATTACAGTTTAACACATATTCACATAGAAAACAGCTGTTTTACATTAGAATAATATTTCAGTTTAACACATATTCACATAGAAAACAGCTGTTTTACATTAGAATAATATTTCACTATTTTTACAGTATTTTTGATCAAATAAACACAGCCTTGGTGAGCAGAAGAGACTTCTTTCAGAAGCATTTGAGCACTAATGTAGTTGCTACTGGATTTGGAAATATTTTGCTAAATGTTTTGTCTCGCATAAAATACATCAGTTAGTGTCTTTTTATTTATGCGGGATATATCACATATAAGAAGAAACAAAGGGTTAAATTTCATCGTGTTGCAGCTTTTGATTTAAAAAATGTTTTAGAAAAGACGATAAAATTAGTGATAAAATAAGTAATAAAAACCAGTGATTTAAAATTTAATTTAGCTTTTCTAATGAAAAAACTAAACTAAAACCAAAAAAACAAACTAAACTGAAATGACAAATTGAAGATAAATATAGAAATAAAATAAGCAGCAACTATCTGAAATGTATTTTCTATATTTTATTTTATTTTTGTTAAAGCCTTTTTCTTTCCTGTTTTAGTTGTTTAAACTAGTGCATGTTATCTTCGTCATTCTGCTAATATTTTACAATGAGGTTTCATTAGTTAACATGAGCAGTATTTCACAGGATTTAATCATGTTAGTTAATTTCAACATTTGTGACCCTGGAGCACAAAACCAGTCATAAGGG